CCCAATTCCTATTCAAGTATCACAAACCAAATATAAAAGGAATGAGAAAATTTTATTTGTATGATGGCTTGATAGACTAAAATTTTCATTTCAGGTCTGCAAATTTGGCAGACTGCAGGACTGACTATAAAAGAATTAACCTAGAGTATTGTAAACAGCTGACCTCCCGGGAGGGGGTGTTTGATGAACAAACTAGATAACGTGTGCAAAACTGCCTTCTGAATGATTACTTGTGTGATTACAAAGCTTAATGCCTGTGTCACCCACTATGAATTCCATGAGGGGAGGAACTTTGCTTATTGATATATCTCCTGTACCAATCATATATACATTTGGTAAATATGTGAATATATTTTTTTATAATTGATAATTATTTCATAGGAGAAAACTGTATCCTCAAGTGATTTGCTAGCACTACAGTTCCTTCATGTTAAAATCTGAATTCCTGTTATTCAGATTTACTCACTGTATTTGATATTGTACTTTTCCAGCCCCACAATAGATACACACAACTTCTACTCAAACGCAAGAATACCGTGTCCTGAACTATTGACGCCTTCCTTCCTTCTCTGCCTAAAGTCTTTGAAAGTACCCAGCTCAAGTAAAAAAAAATCTTCCTTTGAAGTATTTCAACACATGCTTATTTGACGTCTCAGGCTGTTAATTTTAAAAACACATTTTATCGCCTTAATCATTTTTGCATTTCTGTTCCCGGGGACTATGACTGGCTCTTTGAATATGGAAAATACCCAATTAATATCTGTTGACTTAATTTTCACAATACATCATTCGCTTACAGTTTTTATTCCAATGAGGGTAAATCAATTTCCCCAGACTCTTCCTTTATCCCAGATGAAGGTGCAACTGCTGTTTGGAGCGATGATTAAAGCGCATTCTCTCCTACAAATGTAACCTGCCATAAAAACTACTTCAGTAAAGTCACTCTCTGCCAGAAAGACCAGTAAGGAGCCGGTTCTTTTCCAATTCCAGGAATCCGCGTCGCGCCTTACGCTTTGCTCTAAGTCCAGAGACG